GGGCGTCCAGGTTCGCGCGGGCGGTATCTGTGTCGGTGCTGGCACAGCGAGGTGACCTCTTGACCCCCGGGGCCGGAGACTGACCACGGGACTGTGGGGGCGAGCAGTCACGCTGGGGGTGGGCGGGGTGGGCGGGGACATCGGAGGCCGAGCTAGATCTGACGGGCGGGGATCTCATGTACTCGCGGTCTCTGGGGCTCTCTCCGTCTCTCTCTCGCTCTCTGCTGCTCTCTCCGTCTCTCTCTCGGTCTCTGCTGCTCTCCCTGTCTCTCTCGCTGTCTCTACTGCCCTCTCTGTCTCTACTGCCCTCTCGGTCTCTGTCTCTGTCTCGCGACTCACGCCTCGGGTTGTGACACAACGGCGGAGACATCAGTTCCTGGTTGCCATGGCAACCCCGCGCTTCCTGTGGCGGGAACTTGTGGCCTGGAGACGAGGCGCCCCCTGCCCCCGGCATCATCATCATCATCGTCGTCAACATCCTCTCCCTCTCCTCTTTACTCGGGGGCTGTTGTTGTTGTTGTTGTTGTTGTTGTTGTTGTTGTAGCCTCTGTGACGGCAAACTGTCGTCAGCGCTGCTGCTTCGTCGTCTGCTTCTGGCCGTCTCTGGCGGGGAACTGTCTCTCTCCCTATCCCTGTCCTCTCTCTCCCTATCCCTGTCCTCTCTCTCCCTATCCCTGCCCTCTCTCTCCCTATCCCTCCCCTCTTTGGCCTCGTAAAAGAAGGGGTTACTCCTCACAGACTCGTTCAGTCGCTCCTGCATCTTGCTGTAAATCTCCTCATTCTTCTGATCCGCGAACGCAGAGGAGGAGGAAGAAGAAGAAGAAGACGCCAATCCTCCTCCTCCCCCTCTCCCTCCTGCCCCCTGCTCCCGCCTGTAGAGCGAGGGGTCAAGGGTCATAGCGCGGCTGGGGCGGCCATCAGCGTCCCTAGCGACCAGGTTGCTACGTCCCTCCGACAACATCCGGGCGGCGGCGGCTGTCTCGTGAGACACCGACCTCTCCAGCCGCTCCCTCTCCTTCCTCTCCTCCCTCAAGCCGTCACGTGACCCTCTCTGCTCCTCCTCCTCATCACAGGAAGCGGGAATCACTTCCGGGTCAGCGCGGAAGCTGTCTTGATCCACGTCACAGCCCCGGTACAGCTCTCGCACGCTCACCTTCCCGTCCCGCCCC